GGGATAATTTTTCTGCACAGGATGGCGGGGGGGGGATACCGGCCCTCCTGGGAAGATGTAAACTCAAATTTCGGATGGGCGATGGGGCAGAATCATTTGTAAATTGTGATACCCAAAGCGGAATCGTCAAGTCCAGGGTGGTGGTGGTTGTGGTGGTATAACCTGCTTTTTCTTTCAGACAGGAGAACATGCTTGGTGTAATTTCCACGACGCAGCTTTTGTGTTGTAAGCTCTATGTGGTCCAGTATGCGCGGTGCAATTCATTCTTGACGCTTCGCGTACCCTGACCAGCCCATCCAGAAACGATAGGAGGACGGGGGGAAAGAGAGAGAGAGAGAGAGAGAGAAAGAGAAGGAGAAAAAGAGAGAGAGAGAGAGAGAGAGAGAGAGAGAGAGAGAGAGAAAACAAAACAAACACGCATAGCCAGCCCATCCGGATGCCCTGGGACGTCTGAGTGGGCTGGCCATCTCGAGCCGTCTTGGAGCGGTCTTGGGGTCTCTTCGAGCATCTCGGGAGCCATTTTGAGCCAGTTTGGGCCATCTTGAGCCATCTTGGAGGTCATCCTGGGCTCTGTAAGGCCGCTCGGGGACCTCTTGGGGACCTCTCGGGGGCCTCTTAGAACCCTCTTTGGGCCCCTTGGGCCGCTCGGGGGATCCTTTGGGGGGCGTCTTGAGAGCCCTGGAGGGCCTCTTGGGGCCATCTTGGAGGCAGTCGGTCAAAAGACGGGGGGGGGTACTCGATGTGCGCCCCCCCCATCGGGGGGCGCGATCCTCGTGAGTGGTGCCGAGATTGGCCCTCCCACTGGCCGAAAAAAGGGGCTTCTGACACTTCGCGACACCTCTCAAAACCCTCAGGGAGGGGATGGGGAGGGCTCTTTTCCCCGAAGGAAGAAGGGATGTGGAAGAACAAAAAAATCACCCTTAGACCAATGTCGCCCAAAGGGCTGGCGGGATTTCTGCTTGCAGTGAGTTGACCATTCCTGTGCTCGCGAAATCATTCCACCCACGAGCACGCAACTTGGCTTGTAAAGCCCATGCGGCGGCGATTGCGATGAGCGCGTGGAGTTGGCTGGTGCATTTATGCGGCCGCGCTAGCCAGCGACTGCTCGCGCGCGCAGCGGCCAGATAGTTTGGCGCGACCGACGCGGCCGCGGTGGCACTGACCGCTGGGCACATCCCAGCGGGCAGTTTTGTGCGAGGCGGCGACATGGGCGGGCGCGGTATCGTGGCGACGTCAACAATTATGGACGCGATGATGATGGTAGCGATGCTTGTGATGATGATGGCGATGACGACGGCAAGGCCAGTGACGGTGCCGATGCTGATCACGCCGACGACGATGACGATGTCCTCGCGTCGGCGTTGAAGGTTTTCGAAGGAGTTCCGGCGCGCGGCCGACGCGCGCCAGTGGTCTGCCTGGTATGATTTGACGAATCGCGCCCTCTATCCCAGCACGCGCGCAAGGGCGTTCGAATGGGTTCGAAATGCGGCGCGAGAGGCGTTTGGAAGAATTCGAGGATCATGTTGGCAAAACGCATGTTTGTTTTCGGAACCCGCAGCGCCGCGAGCGCAGGCCTTCTTGAAAACTACAATTTTGCGATATGTTCTCGGGGCACTCGTTTTTGAACTCCTTGCGACACCTCGGGTGTTTGACGGATTTCGGCATGCGCGCGCGACGACGCGCGAATGTGCACGCCGTATTGTTCTTGATGCGGCGGACTTGTGCGACGGCGCGCGCGAAATGGCGTTCGAGCGATTTCGACATGCGCGCGAGAGGCCCGCTTGGTAGCACGTCATGAAAGTGTTGTAGGTAGTAAGGGTTTTTCCGAACTCGCAAAAGAGAGCGGCGCAGGCTTTCTTTGAAAACCTTCGTTTCGAAACCAGGTGTTTCTATACGTTTCTCAACTCTCGCTTTTGAAGTCCTTACGGGACCTATGTATTCGAAATATTTCGGCATGCGTGCGCGGCGACGCGGGCGTGTGCGTTTTTTTTTTTTTTTTTTTTTTTTTTTTTTTTTTTTTTTTTTTTTTTTTTTTTTTTTTTTTTTTTTTTTTGCATGGGGTTGTTGGAAACTGATGGCTTTTCATAAACGAGTGCGCGCACATATTTTTCCCCCCGGAGGATCAGAGGGCGGTTGGTGGGCGAGGCGAGTTTTGGCCTGGCTGGGATGGTATGAACTCATAAATCGGATTGACGACGGGGCACAACCATGCGTAATGTGTGATCCTTGGGGGCGGGGTCGGTCCTAATATTCTTTTAGAGCGGGGAACTGGCTTTTACAACTGAGTTGACACATCCCATGCAGTTGCAAGCGTCCCATCCACCCAGTCGCAACTTGGTCGCACACCCCACTCAGCGGCGAGTGCGATGAGTGGTTGTTGTTGGTGCATTTCTACTGCCGCGCTAGCCCGCGCATGCTCGCGCGCACAGCGGCCACCTAGCTTGGCGCGACCGACGCGGCCGCGATGGCGGTGACCGCTGAGCACATCCCAGCGGGCACTTCAGCGCAAAGCGGCGACTTGGGCAGGCGCGGTATCGCGGCGACGCCGACGACGGTGGACACGATACTGGGAGTAACGATGATGGTGGCGATGGTGGCGATGACGACGGCAAGGCCAGTGACGCCGCCGATGTTCATCACGCTCGCTGATAACGACGACGATGTCCCCACGTCGGCGATGAAGGTTTTTGAAGGAGTTCGACATGCGCGCGTGGCCGACGCGCGCCATTGGCCTGCGTGGTATGGTTTGAAACGAATCGCGCCCCCCAGCACGCGCGCAAGGGCGTTCGAATGAGTTCGACATGCGGCGCGAGAGGCCCGTTTTGCAGAATTTGATGGTCATGTTGAACAACGTATGGTTGTCTTCAGAAACCGCAAAACCGCGAGCGCAGGCTTTCTTGAAAACTGACCTTGCACAGCCATGTGTTTTGATATGTTTTCGGGACACTCTTTTTTGGCATCCCTACGGCACCTCAGGTTTTTGAAGGATACCGGCATGTACGCGCGACGACGCGCCCGCATTTCGTCCCATTTGTTGCAAGGAATTCTTGCGACTGCGCGCGCGCGCGGGCGTTCGAGCGGTTTCGACATGCGCGCGCGAGAGGCCTGTTCGGTTGCATTTTCTGAACATGCTAAAAACCGCCGCTTGTCTTCAGAATTCGCAAGAGCGCGGTCGCAGGCGCTTGTTTGAAAAACTCTTGTTGCGAAACTATGTGTTTTACATGTTTTCGCGATTCCCGATGTAATGTTTACGAAACCTTTAAAAAAAAAACTCCGGCATGCGCGCGCGACGACGCGCACGTGTATACATCGTCCCATGTTTTCGCAAAGGACCATTGAACACTTGTGATTTAGGATATAAACGAGCGCGCGCGCATTATTCTTTGCAGAGGATGAGGGGGGGCAACTCCGGCGTGATTGGAATGGTACGAATTCATAGTTCGGATGGACGATGGGGCCGAATCGTATGTAAATTGCAAGATGAAAAGGTGTACCGTTAAGTCCGGGGGGGTTGTAGATCCGAACTTCTTGTTGAAAGGAGAATCCACGTTGCATAATTTTAAGGTGTCAAATCCACAGTTCGCACACTCATCCCCCCCACTCGCATGCAAGTAGGTTTGCAAAACCCATTCGGCGGCGATTGCGATGCCTGCTTGGCACTGCGGCCGCGCTGACTCGCACACGCTCGCGCGCACAGCGGCCAACTAGTTTTGCGTGACCGACGCGGCCGCGGTGGCGCTGACCGCTGGGACCCCCCCGGCACGTCTCGAAGGCCGTGCTGGCTTGCTGGCGCTTCAGTGCGAGACGGTGATTCGGGCGGGAGCGGTATACTGGTGTCGTCGACGACGGCGGTCACGATGATGATAGTAGCGATGATGGTGACGATGACGACGGCTGCAAAGCCAACGACAGCGCCGATGCTGGCCACGCTGATAACGATGATAGTGTCCACGTGGCGGCGATGAAGCTTTTGGAAAGATTTCGACATGCGTGCGCGGCCGACGCGCGAGTGGCCCGCACTGTTTTTGTTGACAAAGATCGCGTCCCGTCCCCAGCAAGTTGGCGTTCAAATGATTTTGACACCCGCGCGCGCGAGTGGCTCGCGAGGTCTCATTTGACGGGGATGCTAAAACAGTTCAAGTTTTCGGCGGCATTCGCAAGAACGCGCGCGCAGTTTTTTTGATATTCCACGTTGCGAAGCCAGTGTTTTTGATGTTTTTGGGAACCGAAGTGCTTACGAAGCTTATGATATTTGGAAAATGTCTGGCAAACTCGCGAGGCTGCGCGCGCAATAGTGGCACTCCCCGGGATGGTCCGAGCTCATCACTTACATGAACCAAGGGGCAGAATCGTATGTAAATTGCAGTGTCCCAGGGGTGCTGATAATCATGTGTGTGGGGGTGTGTATATATATATATATATATATATATATATATATATGTGTATAAAATATATATATATATATATATATATATATATATATAACACAAGAGACATGTATGTGGTGTAAGCTACGAGGGGCAGTGTGTGTGGTGCGTGGTGCAGCCTGTATGGTTCAATCTGCCTGGTGCAGACTTGCATGCTGTGTGGTGCAGTCGATGTGGCGGCGGCGACGGGCGACGACGAGGCGGCGACCAGCGGCGACGGGGCGGCGACGGAGCGACCACAAACCGGCCGAGGCGGCAGAGCAGCCCAGTTGCGGCGGCGACAGGCGGCGACGAGGCGGCGGCCAGCGGCGACGGGGCGGCGACGGGGCGACCACCAGCTGGCCGGGCGGCGACGGAGCCACCGCAAGCCGTCCAGGGCGGCTGACCGGCCCAGTTCGTTTCATAACAAGTCAGAACACCTGAGAGAAAGCATCGTCTGGGCCATGAACCTCAGGAGCCCCGCGCGGAGCGCTTCAGATTTATGTGTGTGTGTGTGTGCGTGTGCCTATGCAGTCTCTTGCGCTTACGATTTATGTGCGTGTGCCTATGCAGTCTCTTGCTCCTCTGCCTAAGGATAGCCCTGGACATCTTCCTCGTGTCCTACGCCTCCCCGGCGGACCGCTGGTTCGAGGCCCTCGTGCGCCGCCACGGCGCCGACCGCGCCAGCGCCGTGGCCTCGGCCCACCCGCCCGTACCCCACGGCGGAAGGGCCCCGGCCGACCGCCGCGGCCCCGAGGCGGCAGCGGCGGTGGCACCGGCAGCCAGGCCGGGCGCTGCAGAAGCCCGCGGGGAGGGTGCGCGGGGCCGCCCCCACAGCGACGGGGACGCGGCCGACCGCCGCGGCCACGAGGCGGCGGCGGCGGCGGCCTCGGCGGCGAGGCCGGGCGCCGCGGAGGCCCACGGAGGGGGGGCGGGTCGGACGAAAGGGAGGTGGTGAGAAAGGGGGTGGGGGCGGGCACGAGAAGGGAGAGGGGGCAAATACAGCATAGCAGTCAGTCGTACGGCGGGGGCGGTCGTCCAGGGATGTGCCCCAGAGGCGTCGGGCCCTGCAGGATTCCTTGTCTGATGATGGCGGTGGTATCCATGGCGAATCCACGATTGGAGTTCCACCGGTTTCTAGACCCTGGGTTTCCTGATCCAGTGGTTCCTTATCCAATGCCCCAACCGTAGGGGAAGGGAGGGTGTACGAGAAGCGAGAAAGGGCAGGTACAGCATAGCAGGTAACCAGCAGCCGCATCGTGCACGTCTCCGCAACCGATTTTGCCCACAGCGCTCACAGCGCCCAAGGCTCCCGGATTTTTCCGGGATGTCGGATAGTTTCTAGCAGGTGGACAAAGCAGTACGTGATTTGTCGGGCGAAGAGAACTATGCACATGCACCGGTCCTGGCCAGGCCCATCCTTGGCCCCAGGATCGGTGCATATGCCTTCCTGGCCAAGCCAGGAGGGCGCATGCACCGATCCTGGACTCAGCATGGACCTGGCCAAGATCGGTGCATGTGCATAGGCCTTTGTCCTCCCATTTGGAACTTGCTACAAAAAGCCTTGCGTTCGCACAGCGGGCGTACGAAATCTGCTGCATGCAGCTGGGTCCAGCCCAGGCGCCAGACGCCTGCCTCGATATACAGTCGGGGCCCTGAAGAAGGAACCCTTTTCCCTTTTCGTTGGGGAGGGGCTCCGCGTTCCTTAACTGTTTCGCAGCTTGCCTCAGGTCTTCCTCATGTTTTCGATCGGAAACCGAAGTTTAACTTATGGAAGAAAGGGGCCTCGTTCCTTATTTAGGGTTCCTTTGGTCAACGCCCCGACTGTATACGCTGGTGCCTCCTGGCGCCAGGAGGCGCCAGAGACACACTGGCCACGTGTGAGCTGATTCGCTACCACCCCTCCCTTGGCTATCCCCCCCCCTCTCTCAGGAGGGACAGAACACACACAGACACAAGTAATCGGCGATTCCCCAGAACATATGGGGAAATATGGGGAGTGGGGGGGAAGACAAAAACCCAGAAAATATAAGACAATATGGGGGATCCTTTGATTTGTGTGTGTGTGTGTGTGTTTACTCGTGTGTCCCAGGGCCCCTTCACTCTCGTCCGACCCGAGGAGGGCGCGCGAGTCCGATGCGGGGTGAGGCGGGAGGACATCGCGCGGCTTTTCGCCCCCCGCGGCGCCCGCGCCGCTGGCGACGGCGGCGGCGCCGGCGCCAGCTCGCGGGAGGCCCTGGAGCGGCTCGGTAAGCGGCCGTCGGGCGACGACGTCGAGGTCGTGGCCGTGTCGAAGCGCCCGCGCGCACTCGACGACCGGCAGGAGGGCGTGTCCGCGGCCGAGGTCGCGCCGCGCACGACGGCTCCAGCGGCGGTGGCGTCGGGCGTTGCGCAATGAGGGTGCGATCATGTGGGGGGTGAAATGAGGTGTGCCTCACAGAAGCCCTTCAGGGGCCCCGTGGGGTCCGATAGGGGCACGAGAGGTGCACGTTCCTTCGCCGCCCCATGTATCGTCCCCGCAGTAGGCGACGCCCAAAGGCGGCTTCGGCACCGGCGGCGGGCTCGGCTCTGGGCCCCACCAGTCGGCGGGTGGTCTGGCTGTCCGTGAACCCGCGGACCCTCGGGGATGAGGAGGACCAGAGGAGGAGAGGGTGCCGCAGCAGCGCTGTCGTCTCGTTTTCGCCCTTCTCCTGGGAGGCCCTCGTCGCCACGGCCGGATTCGCCTCGAAATTCTGGTCAGAACGCACCCCGGGGGAGCTCCGGGGAGTAGCGGTGTCGGTATCTTTGGTTGGAGCTTGGAGTAGCGCTCTGGAGCTCCGGGGAGTATAGCGCTCTGGAGCAGGCTGGAGGCTGGAGGCTGGAGGTGTTTGGCGCTCTGCCCCCCGGGGTGGGCGGTCCTCCGAAGGTTGCATGCCCATGCCCGATTGCTCGGCAGCCGAGGCCCCGCTGCTCCTGGAGCACGCTCGGGGGGGCGGCGGGAGCCGAGGCCTTCGCCGCCCCGCCCAGGTTGTAGGCGCGGGGGGGGGGAGCAGGTCGAGGCGGTGGCCTTCGGGGACGGCACGGATCGCCCCTTCGAAAACCAGTGTCCCCACGCCTTCCTGAGAAGCGCGGGGGCCTTCCCAGAAGGGACTTGACGATGAGCAAGCAATCGTAAGGATGGTGATGCTAGTGATGGTGATGGTGGTGATGCGATGATGCGATGCTGATGATGATGGTGATGGTGATGATGATGATGCTGCTGCTGATGATGATGATGATGATGATGCTGGTGATGGTGATGATGATGACGATGATGGTGATGATGAGGACCTTTCATGGGATGATGATGATGATGATGCTGATGATGCCAATGATGGTGATGCTGATTATGATGATGATGGTGATGGTGATGGTGGGTTTTGATCATGATGCTGACGATGATGATGGTGGTGATGATGATGATGGTGATGGAGATGGTGATGGTGATGGCGACGTGAGCACAGCGGTTATGATAGTAGATGGATGTGATCTGTAGTTTTCTCGGACAGAGCCCGCCCCGCGCTGCGCGGTGGGCGCGCCCGCGGTTGATGCGTGCAGGGCCCGCGGCCAGAACACGGGCGGTCCACGAGCCTGCCCCTGGATTCGAGGCCCACTCAAGGCCCATTCCTTGCGGCGAGCAGGCCGCGCCAGTGGCGGCGGAGGGCCCAGAAGGGCCCGATTTGGGTCGTCATCCCAGACAGCACCCAATCGCGGGCCGCCCAGAGGGGCGGCAGGTGCCGAACCTGTGGTTCGGGCCGCCCCTGCCGCTGGAAACTACTGCTGCGCAATCTGGGCCGCCCCGGGTTCAAGCGAGGACCTCGTCGGGGTGCTCAGGGGAGGCGCGGTCGCGTGGCAGGCAATGGTCGCCAGATTCGGAGAATGCGAATCTTCTAGCAGGCGGGATCGCCTGCGTCGGTTCCCGTTGTTGAGCGAGGTTTTTTCGACGAGCGGCGGGGCTATTCATGCACTGTTAAAGTCTTCAGGGCACAACGACGACGCTGCCATCTGGGGCGCTGCAGCAGACCGGTGACGTGCTAGTGGCTGTTCGAGCTGCCTTAGCCTGTGCTCGAGCCGCCGGCGCGGCAGCGCGGTGCGAGGCCCGCGTCGTCTGCGCCAAGTTCGCGAGGCTCTATGGCCCAGTCGCCGTCGACGACCTGGCCCAAGACGACCCCAGCGACCTCGAGCTGGAGGGGCTCCTCATCGTGGTGCCCGCCGTTTGCCTCACCTACTACGGCGGCTCGATCGCCTCAGTGGACCACGTGTTCGGCGGCGCCGCGGTCGGCCCTTGGCGAGGACATGCCAGCGGATGCGTCCCGCATTAAGGTATCGCCCGCGCTCCTGGCGAGACTCACCGAGAGCTGCTCGGAGGACGAGGTGATCGAGTTCTTCGATTCAGCTGGCGGGTCTCCTCAGCTGGACCTGCTCGAGTTGGCCGATCTCGCCCCGCTGCCCGATGACTGGAACATCGTGGTCTTGCTCCGACCCGCCACGTTTCCCGACCCCGCCCTTCGGGGCGACCCGGGGCGCATCGGCTTCCAGCTCTCCGTCGACGGCCAGGTCGACGGGGGCGAGATACCTCGCCGCCGACGAGCACGATGGCGAGAGCACAGGACACGACGAGGTCGACGCAGCCCGCGAGGCTGCCGCGCAGGAGTGGGCAGGTCGGCCACGCGGCGCCTACGCGGCGGGCCGCCCGCGCGCGGAGGAAGAGGGGCCTTTGGCGGGGCTGGGGGGCCCATGGCCCCGCCCGCCAGGCGCCCCCTCCCATCGACAGATGGCGCCGCCGCTGGCAGCGCGCGCCCGGTCCCGAGCAGATCCCCTCGCCCGCGGCGCCGCCCTGACGCCAGCTCAGCTTCCCGGGGCGCGGCCCACCCGGGCGCCTTCCCGGCCCGGGGCGGCGGAGGGGGCCCCGGCGACGGTTCGGGGGCTGCCCGACGGGCCCCCTCCGCGCGGGAAGGGCGGCCGCGCGGCCCCAGAGAGGAGGGGCGACCTCGACCTCGGGGCCCGCGTCGAGGAGGGCGGCCGCGATGCAGACGAGGCTGTCCAGCTTGCGAAGCTGCGGGCGCTGGAGAAGGTCAGCGGCTCCGCGAAGGCGAAGGGGGGCGAGCTCACCTTGGGCGACCTCCTCCTCGGGGGCGCAGCCTCGAGCTCCCGAGAGGCGGGCCGCGTGGCCAGGATCGACGATGCTTCGGAGGCAGCAGGGCCCCCGGCGCTCCGCGGGGCCATCGAGCGCGAACCGCAGATGGGGGCCTGCCCGCGTCGACGCCGCGGCCTTCGCGGGCGCGCACCTGGGAGTCGCTCGCGCCCCTCCACGCACTGCGCATGTCTCGGCGGCGCGACCTCCCCGGCGCCCGGATCGGCTAGTTTCTTATGGCACTGGCAGAAGTCAGGGGCCGCGAGCGGCTCTTGGTGGCTGGCCCGGCTGGTCACTGGGCTCGAGGCCCTCGGCCCGGGGCGAGTCGGGCGGCGAGAGGCTTCCCGCGCCCCGCCCTCGAGAGCGCAGGCGGGGGCGCCGCCGGGGGCCGCGTCTAGGGCGGGAAGTCGAACGAGTGGGCCAGCAAGAAGGTGCAGGGCGGCGGCGCCGGCGCCGGGGAAGCGAGCGATCGTCTCTTGATGGGTTCGACAGCAGATAGAAACACCGAGGGGGGCCAGCTCAGGAGTCGGGCCTTCGTCGTCACCGCGTGCGACTCCGACTTCGCAGGCCGCCGTTGATTCGGTGATCTGCGCTCTTTTTGCCTCTGGCCTGCCGACCTCGTTATGCGCCTTAGTTGGGGCGGGCGTCTCCAAATTCGCCCCGACTTGCCATCTTGCCCCTCGGCCTTCGGCCTCGTCGCGAGCTGCCCATGCCCTGTGGGCCCCCCTACCAGTGGCGCGAGAGTGGGGCTTCGCCGCGGTCGCCGCAGAAGACGCGCGCGATGGCTTCGTGGGAGACGTTGGCGGCGCTGGGTCAACGCGTCCGTCGCCCATCGCTCGCGGCTCTCGCTCGGGCGCCCCGCGGGGGGGTCGACGGCGCCCTGCCTCGCCGCGCCCGTGGCAGGCTGCTGGTGCGTCTGGTCGTTGCCGCGCCGAGGAGTCAATGCCGCCCCTGATTGCCAGCGTCGCTCGCGTCCGTCGGGCCGCGGCAGGGCCCGCGGGCGACTCGCAGTTGGGGGGCTGCGCGCCCTCGCCGCGAACAACCTCGGCACCCCGTCCAGCGGCGCGGCGACGCTGCCCCTGCATGGGGCCAGTCGCGCCGCCCGAGTGCGGCCCCGCCATCCGCGCGCCCCGCGTCTCTGACCCCGTGCCAAGCCGCCTTCCCAGTCAACTGCCTCCCACGCGCGTGCGCGTGGACCGCTGGGCCGCGGCGGCAGCGCACATATGGGATGCTCGGCTTTCGTGGCTCGCGCGCCCGGGGATTCTCCGACGGCGCGCGGGCGCCCCCGCCCGCGCGGGGCCCCTCGGCGCGGAGAAGGGCGACCGCGGGCCGAGGGCGGCCATCGGCAGGCGCCGCCGCAATGCATTCGAGAAGTCTTGGAGAGGCCCTTCGCGAGCGCGCGCCTGCCGCGCGACCCTTCGGCAGTCGACGCGCCTGCCTCGAGCGCGTCGCCGCCTTGCCCAGCGCTTCGCAGTTCGCGGCGCCGTTCCCCCCGAAGTGCGGGTGCTTGTCGATCTCCGCGGGCGGCGCCGAAGACTGCCTTTACCTCCTGCAGCGGCTGGGCCCCGGGGCCCAGATGACCGCCCTCGGGCTTGACTCCGGGGCCGGCGAGCTGCTGGAGCAGGGGTTTTCTTGCGAGGTGGACTACATCCGCTGGCGCGGTCGCGGCGGGATCGCGCTGGAATTGGCGGCCCGTGCCGCCGGGGGCCAAACGGCTTCGGAGGCCGCTCAGATCGCGCATCAGCGCTGGCTTCGATCCGCAGGTCGCCGCAGCGACGGGGGGCGGCTCGCCTGCACGCCCGCGGCCGGGCCCACCCCCCGCGATTCGAACCGCGAAGGGCGTCTATTCGGACGACCGCATTGTCATTGTCCTCTGCGACGGCCCCGGCGCCGCGGGCCCGATGCGACGGGCAGCTCGTCCGCGGGCCCGGCAAGGGCGCCCGGCCTGCGATCGCGCGGGCATCGAGAGAAAGGGGGAGAAGGCAAACCTGGACCAGCCGAGCGGTCGTTTGGGGGGGGTCGCTTCAGTGCGTTTCGATGTAGGCGGGGAGGCGGTGGAAGTCAAGCAGCTCGGAATGCTCGCCGCGCGCGTCGTCGTCGTCGGGGCCGCGTCAGTCGCTCTCAGGAGGAGGTTTGTCGGAAGTTGGGCTCGCCGTATGATGTTTTGCCGGGCCGCCATGCGTCTCGTGGACAAACTCTACGCGTGGCTTCGCGCGCCCGGCGTGGACCCCGTGGCGCGGCGCCGTCAGCCGAATCCAGTGATCGACGAGTTGTTGGGCCCTGCTCTCCTGTTCCCAGTGGCCAGGAGCTCGCTCGACTCCGCGGTGGCGGAACAGGTCTTCGTCTCGGGCGCCGCCCACTTCGTCGGCGGAGTCGCGTCGGCCCCGCTCGACGCGGAGGAGGCGGCCTGACTTTGGGCGCGGATTCCTCGACGGGCAGGCGCGGTGAGGCACAGACCTC